ATAACCAATAAGCCACCTATTCGAAGTTCGATTTGTATTTATCAAAAAACTTCAAAAAATATTCTATCTGTGTGTCAATAAATAAACCAAGGGTATGAGATATCTATGTATTGTATTATATATACTCACTACTTAAGAAATTCATTAAACGTGACGAAAATAGCCAAAAGGCGATTGACTTGGATGCGGGACACTGACGAATTGCTGGAGCTAAGAAAAGGCGGACGATGAAAGTGAAAAAAGGCTGTACCGTCGATGACGGAGGCAATAAATTTATAGCAAATATATATCTACAACCGGAAATATTTGCGAACGATCGGTTCCGGTGAAATATCTAAGGGACTGCGGTGATGGTATATTTTACGTGGGCGGGAAAAATTGAATCTCATCCCATTTGAAAATAATAATACAGACGACCGACAAGGACGTATTACCTATTTTTCAAAACTAAAATAATACACAGAGCGATCGTCGTCAGCTACAGTCCTACATTTCAGCATAATATTTAATATATTATTTTATTGTGCCTATTTTAATAATAAGACTAAAAAAATGCTAAATGATGATTTATGGCAAATAAAAATTACTAAAATTACGAAAAAAAAGTCAAAATTTGTATAACGTGTGATGATGAAAATCTGTACAGAAAATTTTAACTTCATAGTACGAAATACGCAATTTAAAACTACAACGGACGGACAAATGAATATCCATAATTAGAACAATTATCAATTTACATGAATATAATAACACAGATCCTATATAATTTGTTAATATGATAAAATTCGATAAGTGTTTTACAATACAATAAAATAAAATATCTTAAAGTTCATGTTTATTTTTTAATTGTATATTTATAATTATTTTTGTTATCATATCATAAAATGGATTTTTAATTTAAAAATTACAAACATGAATTTAACCTAAGTCTTAATTTATACAACAACGATAGTGTTTTTATAATGAATTTAATATTAATTATTGTATATGTTTATTTAACATAAAATCATATTTTAAAAAAATGGTGTAAATGTATCTAAAATAGTATTTATATAGGTAACTAAATGCATATTTTCTGTTTAGTAAATTATAGAGTATAATAAATTACAAACTGTACAGTTTATATATAAATGAAAAAAAAAACCATATATTAACAAATAACTGACAATGTGGATTTTTTTTTTATGATAAAAATACATAATATTAATTGTTAAGAAACAATTAAATTATTAGCACTTCTCAAATCATAAGTGCGTAAAGTCGAGAAGACTTTCAGACACTTATTGTAATGGTAAACAACATATTAAAATGACCCTTCTCGGCGCCACCAACAATCTACACTACAATTCAAAACCCATTAAAACTATTCAAAGATAAAAATCCGTTAAACGTAGGAACTCTACGCAAACTACATACCTATGTATATGAAGTAGTTTTCAAACATTTAACGTCAATATGAAGCACCAATCAGTAAAGTCCAAAACGCATGCTCTTTGACATATATACCACTTGACGTTTAGGCAATTCACTTCAAATTTTCTCTTCAAATTGACAATATCTATTCAAGATTCAAACATGTGAAAATAGTAAATACCAAAGGAAATCGACCAGATAGCAGAGACCATCAAAAGTATCTGCGAAGATGTGTATTTACCATATCAATCATTGATCACTGAGGTAATCATTATTCGAAAGAAAGAATACTTCATTTGTACAGTAGTATTCACCCTGCATTAAAAGTTCGAGACTAAATAAAACTGGACTAAATAACTGTCATTTTAAAGTGAAATACACTAAAGATATTTATAAATCATTATTGGTGTGGAAATAATATAATATGCAGTATATGCGCTGTAGTTGAAAAATCTTAAAAATACATATTGTATAACGTTTAAATAATACATACCTATACGATATCTGAAAACAATTGACACAATACGATTGAGTTATATACCGACATTTTGAACACCATCGACTTGTTTTGTAAACTTATACCTATCGAGAGTAAATTTCACTGAACTGGAAAAGTCGATTAGCCCATAACCATAAAAATATCGAAGTAAATATTAGTCCATTCGTTTTATTTGTTTATATATTATTATATATTTTTATATTTTTATGTCACATGACTTATGGAGTATTTATTTTTTTTTAATAAACTGTTTTCTCTTTAACTTTGTTGCAAATAACAGAAATACATTTTTCAATGTACTATAACGGCTGTAAGCCAAAATTGTGCAATTCGTACATCGTATATGGTGTATATGTGATTTTTTTTTTTTTAATCTGAGAAATCATTTTAAATAAATAATATATTCTACATACCTGAATTTCATTACAGATTAACATTATCAAAATATGTCACAGCTATTTTAAAATTTTGAAACAATATGTTTATTCAAAATTCAATATAATATTATAATATTATTATATAATGAACGCATGACTTTATCACAAATTTTAATAGATTCGTTAACCATTTCAATTTTTTGAAAGATAACTTTGAAATCATTTATTCAAATCAATTTTATTATTTTTTTTCTACGATAAAAGATTTAGTCCACGATAAATGAGAAAAAAATGAATATATTAAAATAATATGCAATCTAAACTATAAAGGTGCTATACAAATTACGACAATAGAGTGATGAAAAGAACTTATAACGTCTAAAAGACATGTTAAAAATTATTTGAGTGAGTAATTGGATACATTATGATAAGTTATGTAATAATAATAACACGATAGTTATATTTAGTCATAATAATTATATTTACTATACATTATAATTTATATTAAAGAATTAAAGGTGGGTATGTAAAGAAAGATATGTCGTGCATGATAGTTTAAAAATGTTCAACGCATTACTGAATACGGTAAAGATGCATAAGAATAACAATACCTAAACATTTGATTTTATTTTTTTATAACTCTTTACATAACAGACATTTTATAGATTCTCCATTAGTAAATATATTAATTGAAATCTGAAGATATTGTTTTCCATTACTAAACGTTTTTACACTGAAACATAAAAAGTTTTTCAACTAACTTTTAAATTTACTATGATTGTTTTTCTTCACTTTTTAGATTTTTTTATTCTGAACGTGACAATTAACGTATCTAGCTAAAGGCTTTTCATTTATATAAATATTTTTTTTGTGAGTTGGGTGTCAACTTATTAGGTCAGTAATAAAGTTTCAGTTTTATTTTCAAGGATAGTAGTGTTTTATAAGAGGTATGCAAGTTTTCTCTGTTACGCATATTATTATTTTCTTTAGATTTTATACAATGGGACATTAATAGTTAATATACTAATTAGACTATTTATTCCACATTCTTATTCACACAGTTCTATAAAATACGTTGGTATCGATTTAGAAGTTAATAATAATACATTATACATATTATATATTAATTACTATTACATAGTATACAAATATTGAATACAATGTTTTTTTACAAAAAAATGTTCAACATACATAATAGATAAATAAATAATTAATATAAATTAGTAAAAATGAATTATAAAATATCTAACTAAAGCCTGACACGTCATTTAGTATTTTTTTATAAAACACATAATTTATTATTCAATTCGAATAATTTGACACATAAATCACAGTATTAGGTAAATAAGTACTCGATAATAAGACATTCGATACCTACTATAAAACAGATAAAGTTCTTCAGGTTTTTTAAAATTTAATTTTTACAAAACCTATATAAATGTTTGACTAACCAACCGAAAAAAAAAAATTATAGTCGTTAATACAACCATTTAAGTGGTTAGCCCAACCATAATCTTGGATTAATATAATTACATAACAAATATATAACTGAGAGTACTAAAATTAGTTAGTTGAATCTATTTAGTTTAATTAACTATATAACATTAACTGACTATTAATTTACTTTTATAATATTATTACCATTACTTATTCCATAATGATTATAACGAAAATGCTTTCATAATAATTATATATTGTATAAAATCGCAATCTTTCACAGGTTATCGCTCTTCCGTAATCGTTTACATGTTGATATTGTGGCGGGGAACAATAGTTTTTTCCGAGTTTATAAATATGTATTTGTCAGCAGGTGACCATAATTTCCCTCGGACACCACGCACATATTTTCCGGATCCACCCGACCACCTTAATAAACCTTTACTGAGGTTCGTAAAAATGGCGTGCAGCTTAATATGTTACGATTGCGGTTATATATTGTCAAAATTATTCCACTCCTTCAACCACGCGGGTAAATCGTATAATCTAAAGGGGTGAGATAGTAATTACTACAGTTACGTTGGTCGATTATTGCCTCCCCGGGGAAATGGGGACACATTTTGATACCATAAATATTCACCAACACCAATGGTTTAAAATATTAAAAAATATACTTAATTTAATACTCGAATGTCTTGAGTAGAAAGCCACGGGTGTCGAGTCAAAGCAATAAATTCCGTTTTTTTTTTTTTTTACATATATTAAAATTATTAAAAACAAATTCTTTGAATAAAAATTTATTTTTATTAACTTTAAACATTATTAATTTTAAGTTTTTTTTCTTTTTTTTTGGTATATATTTTTAGTTTATAAAGTCATAAGCAAGATGGTATGATTGGCATATCGATTAAAGTTAAGTAATTATAGTTGTTATGATCAGATTGGTATGGTTAAGATAGAACTTGCAAAATGTCGGTCCATTTTTCTACTCATAACACACTTTTAATACATATAATTAATTATAATCACTTGTTCTAAATCCAAATTTGTAAAGAATAATATCCAGCTAAAAATGTATAATCGAAATTATATGCTACTATAGCGAATTAAATTAAACTATTATTATGGAAATGATGATTTGATTAAAATAATTACGTAGGTATACAACATGCGAACAATGGGTTTCCTCCATGGAAAAAAAAAACGTAAACTTGTTTTCACGTAAATATTAATACGCATCATCAAGTTAATACTTTTTATTTTTTTGTTTATAGGTAGGTAACACGTTAATTATATTCGCAGTTTTTACAACCAGGCGACTTCGGACAGTAACGAATTACTTCGTGACGTCATTGGCTGTTGCTGATTGGCTAGTGGGAACGTTTGTCATGCCACTAGCTGTCGTCTATCATGTTACAGGTAAGCTAAAAGTTATATCACAAGGGAGAGATGATTTTGGTTATAATTAATTTACCATTCAATAATCGTTAGGCGAATGGACGTTTGGACGTTTGATATGTGACATTTGGGTCTCGCTGGACGTGTGCCTTTGTACTGCGTCAATACTCAGCCTTTGCGCCATATCAATCGACAGATATTTTGCCATCACTAAACCTTTACGGTACTCAAAAAAACGAAGGTCCAAAAGACTCGCATCGCTCATGATATTAGTCGTATGGCTAGTTTCATTGGTTATAACGTGTGCTCCACTTTTTGGGTGGTGCGTATACTATTATATTATCATATAATTTAATGATGTACAGCTGTTAGGTATTATTAAGTATTTTGACAATTTTAAAAAAATAATAAAAACAACATTTAAGTTAATCGATTTTAAAATCAGCTAAATATACTTTGTAAGTATGTAACAATAATATTTTTATAGTACGTTAATTAAAGTAAATAAAAATATAAACTCTCAACTTTGTAATTTTTTTTCTATTTTACAGTCTACAGTTATTAGTCTTCAGTTATACTAGTAAATAATGATAAATTTTTAATTTTATGTTTTTTTTTTTTTATTATTTTGATAGTAGAAACCTATATTTTTAATTAACTATAATTAATATTCTGTAACAGAGTACTTACTTATATAAAGTATCAAAAACTAACATAAAGTGCCTTATAATATTATACGATTAACAAAGTTTCATTGGGATAAAGTGTAAAGTACTAAATGTAAATATACAATTTTATTATAAAAATTCCTCGCTTAACGACCATTACGTTTTATTACATTAATATAGTTGATTAAAATAATAAATAAAAATACTTGTTACTCAATAAAAAAAAAAAAAACATTTTCGTACGAACATTGGAAGCTTAATATTGGCTTTATATTTTATATAGGTACGACGAAAAGCGACACACTAGCAACAGCTGTACCTATAACCAAAACAAAGTATACGTAGTGTTTTCGGCAATGGGCTCATTTTTCCTGCCACTGGTAGTCGTCGTCTACGTATATTTAAAAATATCCTGTGTAATTGCGGAAAGGCATAATAAACTCGAAGCTCTCAACGGACAAAAATTAAAAGTAAGAACAATATACATCATAGAACGTATTGCATAGAATAGTTATTAAAATAAAGTATGCATTTCACCTTAACTTCCAACTACCGTATATAGTATTATAATTATTTAGAACAGCAAGCAGGCATAATATTATCATTATAATACTCGCAAAATGGGTATTTTAGTGACTTTTCCATTTATTTTATGTTCCAATATCTACGATAGCAACAAACGGATCGAATATAGAACAAGTAATAATATTATTCAATTTATCTATTCAAAATTTACTGACCAGCTAGTGTTGTGGGAAACGACAATCCATAAAAAATTGCATGGAAAACAATTAATAATAACTGAATTATATTGCGTGATATCGCCATTCTATGTATTAAATATAATTATCCGACAAAATTAAGTATAGATGGATTGACTTATCCCTCCCTGCCCAGAAGTCTCCCTTAGTAACATACCAATCATTTTATCCCATTCAATTAAATACTTAAGCTTAACCTTTGACCGTTTCCTCACCTGGGGACTTCATATCAGAACAAAAAAACTTGCCCTAAACGAACGACTTCGCTCAATTAAAACACTAATATCAAATAAACATACTAAACTAAACACCAAACTTTTCATATATAAATCATTAATCAAGCCCATGTGGACTTATGGCCTACAGTTATGGGGTAATGCAAAAAAAACCAATGTAAACAAAATCCTAACCTTTCAAAATAAAATCTTAAGATTAATTACTAACGCCCCTCCAAATGTCTCCAACTACACTCTGCACACAGATTTAAATATTAAAACAGTTCACAATGAAGCAATAACATTTTACAAAAGATTCCATAACAGACTTCCATATCATTCTAATCCCCTTATATCTAATCTAGCTAAGAAAATGGTGTCAAGATTTACTAAATGAATAAAAAAAAAAAAAATTAAAAATTAAAAAAAAATAACAAAAAATTATTAATAAACAAATAGGGAGTGCCTTCACTGGATGGCTTCTTCCCTCACGTTTTCATGTCAAAAAAAAATATTATATCACATATTCTTATTGTGCCCAAGGGTACAGATTGTATATTTCTTATTAAAAATAAAAAAAAATAAAAATGGATTGGCTCAATACAAAACTAACTGCTACAGCTACCTAAAAATATAAAAAAATAATAATAATAACGTTTATTTATAAAACACATCACTATTGTTGCTTAGATTAGCCATTAGGTAGTACAGTATTTTAAAATTTGCAAGTCATTTAATCCATAACAATATTGTCGAATGCGTATTGATAAAAACCAACTAGAATTTAATATGTCACAAACTCACACCTAGATATTTAAAAATATGATTTTAGTGTGAATTTTTATTATACGCGTTAGAAAAACTTAAGTGACATAAATATCCTTTTATGTGCACTTCGACGACTTTCCTTGTTTCAAACACCCAAACCCTGAAGATTAATATTATAATATTAGTTTAATTGTTTTCCATCAGAGTGGATATTAGAATTGATTTGTTTAAATCTGTTTCAAATGACACGTTGGTGAGACAAAGGAAAATACAATATCAGCGAACTAACGACTAAAAACTTACTGTCTAAATTTACTAAATTTGACAAGTTTTTAGGGTAAACCACTAGGGATTTTATCCGAGTTTGTGTCAAATACTCTCTCCTCCAGATTTATACGGTATCTTTATTATGTCGTATAAATAATAAGTATATAACAGCATTGGAAAACAAAGACGTGTTATAACCGAAAATAATTTGAAAAGAAAAAAAAATTAGTAATTGTAATAGTTTATAAAATATATAATATCTATTCATAAATTGAACCGACAATTATTATTACTATTGCTGTAATCTGAGCGGTTATTACCAATGCACTCTTTTATGACAGCAAATTAAAAATAATAATGTATCATCAATAATAAACAGAAAACGCGGAACATTTTAATTAAGTTTTAACGCAACAGTAACAAACGTTCACAATACCCTCGGCACGATAATATGTCGAATCATCGTAGGTTCAAATGAAACGATTGAGAATGTGTTTTGAGTAGAATTAACGGCGATGTGTCGTATACGCACATGTTATGAGTTGTGAAAAAATAACAATACCATTTTTTTCTTCTAATATCACCTGTACTACATTATTAGAAATGTAAGTCGTGCACAATAATCGCAATACTATTTACGGGTTCCGTCCTGCCCATTCAGCGAACGGCACATGATGTTGTTTTCATTAAAACGTTCAAATGAACAGTAAACGGTTTTTATACTGCTAGATGCCCAGCTAAGGAACTGTCAAGTATCTGTAGTACTGTAGTCCTACACATTATTATATTATCCTCATCCGTGATGTGTGGAATATGAAAATCGAGAGATAGTAAACACCGTTGTGTTTAAAATGACGATTCTGTGCCAGGAATTGGATTTTAATTTATAATTATCACAATATATTGTGTAGATTCGTATGTAGTGTTTTAAACATTTGACTGTCGAGATCTCGAGGGACAACCGATGATACAATACGTTTAGTACTCTGTTAGAAGTAATAATTATAAACAAATTATTAATACGAGAAATATGTTCAGATAATTCATGTCCATTCGAGGGTATTATAGAAGCTATAAATTCATTTGTTTACCACTAAATAGATTAAAAAACATGTTATTTTTGTTAATTCGAAGTTGTTTTTGTAAAAATCACTGTTACGGCTATCATTATTAATTTTAAAAAAAAATTCGCTGTTTCATGAATATGATTATGCACGAGTTACATAATTCGTTAAAACTTCTTCATAATTTCATTTGCAGAAGGTTTATACGTTTGAGTAATTAATTTTAAAAACTTTCTGATTCAATTTAATAGCTCTATAAATATTCATAAACGTAGTTACAATAATATGATAATACGGTTCTCAGAAAAACAATGCGAAAACCAATGTTGCCTTCAATTTGTAAATATACTCATGATACCAAGTCTCGTTAAGAATTTATACAACAAACCAATCAACGAGCTAACAAATTTAAATTTAAAAATAAATATATATAAATATATATATTTATAATTGTGTTAATTGCAATTCATAACTATAATATTATGTATTATGTTCATGATCAGTTAGTGCATTTACGGTCGAGAATAAATCATTAATGTCCACACGTACACCGCATTCTGTTTATACGTCTACAATATTTATAACTAGCGACAACCACAATAATATTATAAAAATCTATTCCGAAGTTCAGAGAGACATAACCAAGTTATAATAAGCATTCCAAAACTCAACAGTTTGAAAATATTTAATTATTGAATCATGTTCTAAAATTTAACGTTAACAACTAACTTTCCATCAGACTGAATGTTTATTTTACCAGTTTTTCTGATTGATAATTATTATTGTTAATCAACATTGGAGACCATAAGAGATGATAAAATAGGAATAATATTTTATTTATTTTATAATATTCCATTATTCAACGAAATCTAAATATTTTGATATTCATTAAAATACCATTAGATCTACTGTTTAATACGATATTATACAATATGTTATCATTATATTCCTTCTATTTTCAATATTTAGGCGCAGGAGCAATGAATAACTTATTGGTTTTACAGCAGTATATAGTGAAACATTTTTTTTTTTTTTTTTAAACTTGGCTAAATTTAAATTTTAAAATGTATTTGAAATTACAATTTTGTTTATTTATTATAAATATATGGTCTAAAAGTAATGCTGTTTATTGGGTATCTATAATATTTTTACCTTTATTTCCACAAGTACTTTAGTATAATGTAACTAATATATTAGATCTATTATTGAGAGCCAATAACAATCAATCATGCTATCAATGATTAATATCTTATACTCCTAAAATAAAAACTTTCGTCATAAACTTACACTAATGATACAGTAATTTATTATTAGAATAATCATGCATTATAATATATTATTTAATAATTCAATAATGTAAAGTATTATTAAATAATATTAAATTTTAACAGCACCAATATACACTAATACTATAAAATGTAGAATACAGAGACCAATAAATATATTTAACTATAGTTGGCGAAACGCAGTTACGCAATACTTATAGCAATATATTATGCAAATAATCTGATAAAACCAAAAATATGGTTAAAACAAATACCAGTATTAGTACACAGCACGATTTCAATTAACAATACCAGCATGCATAAACATAATAGCAAGTCACAAAATATGAAGTACCAAATAAAAGACAGTGAGAAGAAGCAATTTATTGGTATGACTGATATATGATAATTGAAACAGCACCACATATTATATCAATCTATATATTTATATCACTCTGATAATAAAAAAAAAAATTAATAATTTAAATTTAAAATTAAATAAACTTTGACTAATAATATACTATTAATTGATCGTTGAGTTTTTGGATTGATAAGTTTCAATTAATGTAAAAAAACTAGATAATAGACTATTTCAAACAGCTTTATTTTTGTAAAAAAAGTTATTGTAGACAATGAATATTTTTTCTCGAAACCGAATAAATTTAACCCAATTTTCAGAAAAATATTAACTTTTCTATTTCTTATTAAGCATCTCAAAAACAATCAAATTAGTGGCATGATGATAAATTTATGAACTCTTCGAAATCAAGTAACAAACTCTATTCTAGGCCCAATATATTTGGTTCCTCCAAGAATGTTACGATAGCATTTTATGGTGATGACACAAGTCTTTGCACTGACTACCTATTCCGTGATATCTTAGTACAGTTCTTAGAATTTTTAATCATTTTTGGCACGTGCTAATCTAGTTCATAATAATATTTATACTTGTTTTTTTTTATGTGTTGTCTTTGTTTTTAATATTCTCATCACACTTCCTAACTTACGATATCATTACTAGATAATATACAGTGTATAATATTAAAAACGCCTGATGTAATTAATATGTTAAAACTTTATTAAAAAACATATTTTGAACAAAAATAAAAATAAACATTTAGTACCTATAT